CCGTTTGAAATTTAGTTGCCACAGCCAATAGACCTTTCAGGATGTTTGCTGCTTTTATTGTAATCATTCATCTCGCTTCTTGGCCCACGTTTGTGAAACCAGCTCTATCCACCTGGGATGGGCTCCCCTGCTTTCTGGCTTGGCTTATCCCTGCAGTGATGGTAGTGCAGGAACAGACCCTCATTTTGCAGGGGGCAGTCCACGTGCATCTGATGTTTAGTGTTTCTGCAATGCAGGACCCACCAGCTGCTCACAAACAGAGCAAAATGCTCAAATGTGTGGGTTCAGAGTCTAGAAGATGTAAGGCCAGGGGTGCAGTACATAGGTTAACCAGGGGCACCTTCATCTTCCCTCCTCCTCTGCCTCACTGAAAAATGAGCCACTCTTGTAATGGCCCACCACCAGTCAGCCTCTAGCAGCCCTAATCTGCCAGCATCTGGACCAGAACCTCTGCAGAGCACCACAGAAAAGGTGGAGGCTGTCTCCCCTGCTCAGCCATCACTTCTCACCCCTCCATTTGGCCTCAGGAGCAACAGGCTGGGAAGCAGCTGCTGCCCAAGCTGGAGATGAAGGGGGTGAACCCAATGGCTGGGGGGGCTTTGTCCAGTGAAGCGGAGAAGAAACCTGCAGAAAGGACACCCGGAGCAGGAGCAGAGGACATGGAGATGAGCCTACAGCTGGCTGGGATCTGCTGGTCCCCTGGAGCTGCCAGAGGACAGCTGGAACAGTTTTATGGAGCTGAGTAGCATCACACTGGTATGCAGGGAGGAAGGGAGCTGAGCTGGGATGGTGGAAGGCTGCAAGGCAGGACAGAGCTGTGTTTGCTGAGCCTGCTGGCAGAGGTCCATGCTGATGTCTGAGGAAGCGGTTAGCAGTGCAGGTTACAGGGCTGGAACAGGACAGCAGGGTAAGTGTGGAATTCCCCTGCTGTTTTCCTCCTCCCTCGCTCTCCTCTCTATTGCTGCTGGGGCCATTTCCTCCCCTGAACAAGTTTCTCTTGTGCAAATTGTTTGCATGATTTCCTACTGCTCCAATTGGCCAAAATCAGGAGCCAGGAACAAGGTGTTCCCACCACAGATAGGGACCTTATCTAGAGAGGGAGAAAAAATTTTCAAAGCAAATGCTGCTGAATACTGGATCACTTGTCCCAGGTGCTTCTGGGGGGAGATGGTGAAGGGAGAAGCTGCTTTGAGAGCAAGGTGTCTTGCTCCACAGATGTGGGGATCTGCATGATCACCCTCTTTTCCAGAGGGGGGAAGAGAGTAGCCAAAGAACTGGTGGGACTTCATCAGTTATGTTTGTGTGTCAGAGCTGGGTGTCACCCTTACCCTTGTAAGGGTGACAGTTGTAGGCACCCTCAAACACAGACACTTTCCCTGCCAGGCACCTGAGGTCACCTCAGAAAACTGCAAGATGGACATCACTGTGGAAATGGGTGTTCTTCTGTGCCTAAACTAGAACCACCTTGTGCATGGCAGTGCTGCATGTTCAGACATGGGGACATCCCCAAGGATGGCCCTGACCCCTCTGCTCCAGCATTGCTATCTCTGATGATGGGTAGATCACCTTGTGACTGGGTGCCCTGTGCCCGTGGGCACCTTTGTATTTCGGACCACTAATGAGTCTCCTTATGCCAGGGTGGAGCTGGTGAGCAAGTGGAGAAGCTGAGAACAAGTCCAGCAGTCCATCCTACTAGATTGGCCATCCCTGCCCACACGTCCCCCATCCCTGCCCTTTCCAAAACTCCCTGTTGCCCCTTCCAAAAGTTCCTGCTG